AATGGACTGAGGGTAGCCGGGTCCACGGTGGTGACGTTCATGATCGACGATGTGTTATTCATATTTTTTTCCGGCCTGATCAATAAAACTAGCTGGAATCTAGTACAGAGCAAGTTGAATTTAGTTCATGTGGGCCGATAAGCAGGGGAAAGTGTTTTAAAAGCGTTTATTATAACTCTTTTGATACAACGCCTTCGTAAAAAGCTAACAGCTTCATCGCTTGTCACTTCGAATCTGCCACACTAAATGTCGGCGCAGGGTCTTTTATCACAACTGTGCAAACACTTTCAAACGGAGTCAACATTTAACTCTTCATCAAATTAAAAGGATGCTTGTGAAGAGAAAATGAAAGGACACAAAGCGGTACCTCATGGCACACTGATAATTTGTTAGACATGTCTTTGTACAAAAGGAACATAAAATGGAGTCAACTCTAATTGTGTTTCCATTATACTCTTAAAGTGCGTGGTTAAAGAGTAACCACATTGTGGTTATTATTCTTTTACCACTTTGCGAAATTAAAAATTGAGCGCCATGGATTGGTAATATCAATCTGTACTGCAATTCATTGAAGATACCCGAAATTTAACTCTACCCCCCCCCCATTAATGTACCTTCTAAGATTGTAGCTACTTAGAAGTAGCTGAAGCCCCCCCCCTCCCCCCCCCCCCCCAAAAAAAAAAAAAAAATGTGGGAGGCGTTTGAGTTGTACTGGACTCGTTGATGGTTATAGGTTGAACTTGACAACTTATGTAGCCCTGGCGCTGGGCTAGATTCATACGATACACTATGCGCTGATTCAGGCGTTGGATCTTGGGAAAGATTTAATGTTTTCACGCTTGTCCATAATTATTACTGTTTAACTCTAGATGGCAACATGCAAGACAAAAGACATCCGTGAGCATTTATACAACTCCAACCTTACGTGCAAGTAACCCCTTTTTTGAGAGAGAGAGAGAGTTGAGAACATAATGTGGTTATTTTGCAAATCATCCAATAGGCCAACCTAATGACAAATTATCCGTTTGATCAAATTATTTACAATTCACATTGGCCAAGTTATTTACAAATCATGATATTGGCCAATTTAAGTGATTAGTTTAAGACTAAACATAAAGATACCCCTGTTTGAACATTGACAAAGAGCAAAATAGCCTTTAGGTCTGCACCCAAGCTAAACATCTGATATAATTTCCTCCTTTTGGGTTTTTTAAGAAAATTTATTTCCAAGAGTGTATCAAAGTTAAGACCATCCAGGTGGTTCGCACTTCTCCAATACTTTCGGAAATAGCGTATACCCCGATATTTATAAAGGTGAACAATGAACATACAGTTTACAGCTTACTCACATGTAATATACTTGATACATACATGACTGAGACATGCATCTTTTACAATCGAGTATACCGTGTTTGTAATATACATCATTGGCCAAGTTGTTTAAAAATCATCCTTTTGGCCAAGTTATTTACAAATCATCCTATTGGCCAAGATATTTGTAAATCGTCCTATTGGCCAAGTTATTTACAAATCATCATATAGGCCAAGTTATATACAAATCATCCTTTAGGCCAATTTATTTGCAAATCATTATTGGCAAGTAAAAATGATTAGTTTATACTAACACAGTGATACCCGTCATAACAGTGTTCTTTGAACATTGCCATAAAAGCACAAAAGGCTGAAGTTTTGAACCCAAAATTAACATCTGGTATCATATTTTAATTGGAGGAGGCCCTTCCAGGCATCCGTAACACTGAGTATACCACGATTGTAAAATACGTCAATGAAAGGCAAACAAAAAAACAATAAATGTATAACAATATTCATGTATTCAACAAGACACAGTTTTTCTCCATTACAAAACCGACACGTAATATTATAGTGTTATTCGAATTTGTCTAAGTTGTACCGGTGAAGCTAGCAAGAGTCAAAATAGAAGGGGTCAGCTCATATAGGCCTATTCCAACGTTTCGTCCCTGTTCTCATTTCTTTTAAGACAAGACAAGAACCGATTTTACTTTCGAGACAAGACAGATTTCAGCCAGTCAGATGGTTCAGGTATCTGAGAGTAGCGACAACGGAGGATCTGTCGAAGCACCAACTTGAATTGAGGATGCTTTGCCGTGTAGATGATGGGGTTTACACAGCTATTAAGGATAGTGATGGTTCCTAAGTAGAGAGCAAACTCACGACTACTTTGTACGGCCAGAGAAATGAAATAAGGAGACATCACCAAGAAGAATAAGACGCAGAATACCATGAAGAGATTCTTGGTGATAGCAAGCTGCTGACGGCTGATTTCTCGCCGGTTGCATTTGGCTACGTCGTTGATGGACATCCCTTGCCCTGTGGACTCGGTCGATACGCTTAAACTGACGGTAGACTTCCCAACTGATTTGTTATTCTGTGCTTCGCTATCTTGCTGAGTGCGTCTCTTCTTCTGCTTCCTGAAGTGACGTTTGAGATGGATGTAGAGTGCCGTGTAGGCACTGATTATAATAAGGAGGGGGACCGGGAACAGACCAAGAGATTGAGCTAGGTTGTACTCTGCGCCGCGGGGATGACCATCCTTGTCTGAACACGTGTTGTCCTGAGGATCGTAACCAAAGTCGCCAATGCCAAGAATTGGCGGTAAGACGAACACGATCGACGGGATGACCCAAGTCGCAGCGATCATGGCGGAGACTTTTCCCGGGGAGTACCAACGACTGTATGTCGCAGGTCTCTGGGTGACCAGCATGAAGCGATTGAAGGCTATCGCCGCCGATGAGTAAAGGCTTGCACCAAGGCCGGTGTAAAACTGCACAGCCGCGATGTAGCATGGGATCTCTGTAGCTAACGGCCAGGAGCCGTGGCTCAGTATGGCGACGGCCTGCCACGGGCAAGACAGACTCGTCCAGAAATCGGCCAGGCTGAGGTTGACCACGAAGGCGTTGGTCACCGTGCGGAGTTTCTTGGACAGGAACACCGACCAGATCACGAGGCTGTTCCCAACGAGTCCAAGGACCGCGGCTAAGACCCATACGCAGGCCACGCCGATGCGGGCATTGTACGGATGCAGAGATGGACTGAGGGTAGCCGGGTCCACGGTGGTGACGTTCATGATCGACGATGTGTTATTCATATTTTTTCCGGCCTGATCAATAAAACTAGCTGGAATCTAATACAGAGCAAGTTGAATTTAGTTCATGTGGGCCGATAAGCAGGGGAAAGTGTTTTAAAAGCGTTTATTATAACTCTTTTGATACAACGCCTTCGTAAAAAGCTAACAGCTTCATCGCTTGTCACTTCGAATCTGCCACACTAAATGTCGGCGCAGGGTCTTTTATCACAACTGTGCAAACACTTTCAAACGGAGTCAACATTTAACTCTTCATCAAATTAAAAGGATGCTTGTGAAGAGAAAATGAAAGGACACAAAGCGGTACCTCATGGCACACTGATAATTTGTTAGACATGTCTTTGTACAAAAGGAACATAAAATGGAGTCAACTCTAATTGTGTTTCCATTATACTCTTAAAGTGCGTGGTTAAAGAGTAACCACATTGTGGTTATTATTCTTTTACCACTTTGCGAAATTAAAAATTGAGCGCCATGGATTGGTAATATCAATCTGTACTGCAATTCATTGAAGATACCCGAAATTTTGCTCCACCCCCCCCCCCATTAATGTACCTTCTAAGATTGTAGCTACTTAGAAGTAGCTGAAGCCCCCCCCCTCCCCCCCCCCCCAAAAAAAAAATGTGGGAGGCGTTTGAGTTGTACTGGACTCGTTGATGGTTATAGGTTGAACTTGACAACTTATGTAGCCCTGGCGCTGGGCTAGATTCATACGATACACTATGCGCTGATTCAGGCGTTGGATCTTGGGAAAGATTTAATGTTTTCACGCTTGTCCATAATTATTACTGTTTAACTCTAGATGGCAACATGCAAGACAAAAGACATCCGTGAGCATTTATACAACTCCAACCTTACGTGCAAGTAACCCCTTTTTTGAGAGAGAGAGAGAGTTGAGAACATAATGTGGTTATTTTACAAATCATCCAATAGGCCAACTTAATGACAAATTATCCGTTTGATCAAATTATTTACAAATCACATTGGCCAAGTTATTTACAAATCATGATATTGGCCAATTTAAGTGATTAGTTTAAGACTAAACATAAAGATACCCCTGTTTGAACATTGACAAAGAGCAAAATAGCCTTTAGGTCTGCACCCAAGCTAAACATCTGATATAATTTCCCCCTTTTGGGTTTTTTAAGAAAATTTATTTCCAAGAGTGTATCAAAGTTAAGACCATCCAGGTGGTTCGCACTTCTCCAATACTTTCGGAAATAGCGTATACCCCGATATTTATAAAGGTGAACAATGAACATACAGTTTACAGCTTACTCACATGTAATATACTTGATACATACATGACTGAGACATGCATCTTTTACAATCGACAGAGATTCAATTCTATCGAAAAGTTTGGTTACGGTACTCGTCGATGCAAATCCGAACCACCCAGCTGACCCCGGCAAGCACGTTGGTCGATAGGGTAAGACGTCTGCACTGGTACATGGGAGGTGGTTGGTTCGTGTCAAGTCCCAATAAGCTTACGATTGTTAGCTTAGGTAGAAGGGCCGCTGGTAATTTAAAAAAATCAAATATGTATGTATTGCCGCGGCCAGATGGTAAGATAACAATTTGCCGTGGCAAGATACCAAATTGCATTTATTTTAATTGGTTATGGCCCTTCTAGACATCCGTAACACTTAGTATACCGTGTTTGCAATATACATCATTGATTGACAGAGCCCGTTTTAAATTATTAATGTATTCAACAAGACACAGTCTTGCTCCGTTACAAACCGACCTGTTATTGACTTAGTTTTTATTCAAGTTTGTCTAACTTGTACCGGTGAAGCCAGCAGGAGTCACAATGAATGTACATATATACTTTTCGTTCCCGCACTTATTTCCTCTCGGACAAGACAAAACGCTTTTACTTCCTCCGAGACAAGACAGATTTCAGCCAGTCAGATGGTTCAGGTATCTGCGAGTAGCGACAGCAAAGGATCTTTCGAAGCACCAACTTGAATTGAGGATGCTTTGCCGCGTAGATGATGGGGTTTACCCAGCTATTCAGGATAGTGATGGTTGCCCCGTACAGAGCAAACTTACTACTGCTTCGCACGGCCAGAGATATGTAATAAGGGGACAACAACAGGAAGAAGATGCAGAAGACCATAAAGAGATTCTTGGTGATTGCAAGCTGTCGACGGCTGATCGCTCGCCGGTTGCATTTGGCTACGCCGTTTGTGGGCGTGGATAAGGACTCGGTCGATACACTGAAATAGACGGTAGACTTCCCAACTGTTTTGTCGTCCTGGGCTGGGCTTTTTTGTTCAGTGCGTCCCCTCTTCTGCTTCCTGAAGTGACGTTTGAGATGAATGTAGAGTGCTGTGTAGGAACTGATAATGATTAGCATAGGAACCGGGAACAGACCAAGAGATTGAGCAAGGTTGTACTCTTGGCCGCGGGGATGACCATCCTTGTCTGAACACGTGTTGTCCTGAGGATCGTAACCAAAGTCGCCAATGCCAAGAATTGGCGGCAAAAAGAACACGATCGACGGGATGACCCAAGTCGCAGCGATCATGGCGGAGACTTTTCTCGGGGAGTACCAACGACTGTATATTGCAGGTTTCTTAGTGACCAACATGAAGCGATTGAATGCTATCGCCGCCAACGAGTAATGGCTTGCACCAAGACCAGTGTAAAACTGCACAGCGGTGATGTAGCATGGGATCTCTGTAGCTAACGGCCAGGACCCGTGGCTCAGTATGGCGACGGCCTGCCACGGGTAAGACAGACTCGTCCAGAAATCAGCCAGGCTGAGGTTGACCACGAAGGCGTTGGTCACCGTGCGGAGTTTCTTGGACAGGACGACCGACCAGATCACGAGGCTGTTCCCAACGAGTCCAAGGACCGCAGCTACGATCCACACACAGGCCACACCGATTCGGGCATTGTACGGGTAAAGAGATGGATTAAGGGTAGCCGGTTCCATGGTGGTGAGGTTCATGATCGAAGATGTGTTATTCATACTCATCAAAGCCATGTTTGAATTTGTCCGGTCTGATCTGCAAACTAGCATGAAATTCAGTTAAGAACCAGTTGCATCTTTTGTTCATGTAGGAAAATTGCAAAGCGTCTGATATAACTGTAATGCACATTGATACAGAGCTAACGGCTTGACTGCATGGGTCTTCGTGTAGTATTGCCAAAAATCTGCTTCATTAACCAAAATTGTAAGTGAAAAGAGGAAAAAAGATACTTCCCTGGAGATGCATTTTGCAGATGAAATTTTGAATGTCTATATGTATAGCACTTAGGTGGTACCTCATGGCGCACTGATAATTTGTGAGACGTGTCTCCGTACAAAAGCTGCACAAAACGCAGGCAGCTCTAATTGTGTTTCCATTTTACTCTTAAAGTGCATTGTTAAACAGTAACTACACTGTGGTTATTATTTTACACTTCGTAGTCGTCAACTGTATTCAATATAAAAATTACAAGTTTCAACCAGTTGAATAATAGTACTTTTCCAATATGGAGGCTGTTTTCCTGAATTTTGGCATGCACAAAGTAGGATAGGTTCCCTTACGTCACGTTAAACGTGGCCATATATAGATAAAGAAAAACGATGCGCAAACGAATAGACTTGCTTTCAAATGCCAGTTAATCCGCGGAAACTGGTATATCAAAAACTGGTATATCAGCTCAAACTATAATTAAATAAAGACGAACGTTACTTTTGGCCCACTAATTTCGTTCTCGGATTATTGCCTATAAAAATGTGTGGTACCCCCCCCCAAAAAAAAATGTGGGAGGCTCTGAACCTGGGCCCGAAAGCCCTTGCGTTAATCCGTTAATATGCACACGTCAAGGACATGCTGTAATGTTAACGCGGCATTAACACATACTCCTGTTAATTAATAACAATAATACCCGATTAAGTGACTATGAAATAGAGAAAAAAAAGTACCGACAACTGCGAATGGTTCAAGGAGATATTTATCGACGCTTGTGTCACTTTTTCTTACTTCATCCTAGACAACACGGATTTCAGCCAGTCGGATGGTTCAGGTATCTGGGAGTATTGACAACGGAGGATCTTCCGAAGGACTCCCTTGAAATGAACATGGTTAACCGTGTAGATGATGGGGTTGACACAGCTGTTCAGAGTAGTGATGGTTAGTCCGTAGAGAGCAAACGTTCGACTGCTTGGTACTACCAGAGAGATGAAATAAGGAGAAATCAACAAGAAGAAGACGCAGAATACCATGAAGAGATTCTTGGTGATAGCAAGTTGCTGACGGCTGATTGCTCTCCGTTGGCTTTTGGCTACATCGTCGGTGGACATCCCTGAGGATTTGGTCGATACGGTCAAACTGACGGTTGACATCCCTACTGCCTTGTCATGCGGGGCTGGGCTATCGTGCTGAGTGCGTCTCCTCTTCTGCTTCCTGAAGTGACGTTTGAGATGGATGTAGAGTGCCGTGTAGGAACTGATGATGATGAGCATGGGGACCGGGAACAGACCAAGACACTGAACAAGGTTGTACTCTGGGCCGCGGGGATGATCATCTATATCTGTACACGTGTTGCTCTCATGATCGTAACCTAAGTTACCAATGTCAAGGAATGGCGGCACGAACAACACGATCGACGGGATGACCCAAGTCGCAGCGATCATGGCGGAGACTTTTCCCGGAGAGTACCAACGACTGTATGTTGCAGGTTTCTTGGTGACCAGCATGAAGCGATTGAAGGCTATCGCCGCCAATGAATAAAGGCTTGCGCCAAGACCAGTGTATAACTGCACAACGGCAATGTAGCATGGGATCTCTGTAGCTAACGGCCAGGACCCGTGGCTCAGTATGGCGACGGCCTGCCACGGGTAAGACAGACTCGTCCAGAAATCAGCCAGGCTGAGGTTGATCACGAAGGCGTTGGTCACCGTGCGGAGTTTCTTGGACAGGACGACCGACCAGATCACAAGGCTGTTCCCAACGAGTCCAAGGACAGCGGCTAAGATCCATACACAGGCCAACCCGATGCGGGCATTGTAGTGGTACAGAGATGGGCTAGGAGTAGCCGGTTCCATCGTGGTGACGTTCATGATTGAGGATGTGTTATTCATACTCATCAAAGCCATGTTTAAATGTGACCGGTCTGATCGGAAAACTAGCAATAGATTAAGTCAGAAGTAGTTGCATTTTAATTCTTGTAGGCCTACCGGTATATTCCAAATAAGTGTAAAGCGTTTGTTATAGGCCTCACTGTAATGCGCTTTGATACAAAGCTAACAGCTGCACTGCTTGTCAGTTCGTATAGTATTGCCAAATCTGCATCATCGAATAAAATGATGAACAAAATATCAGCGCAGCTTCTTTCACACACCTGTGTAACTAGTCCAGAGAGAGAAGGCAACGTTTAACATTGTGATAACAAAATTGAAATGATGCTTGTGTTGAGAAAATGAAAGGACAACAACATATTTCCGTGGAGATGCATTTTCCCGATGAAATTTTGATGTGGATATTTATATGTACAGCACGTTGGCGGTACCTCATGGCACATTGATAATTTGAGAGACGCAGCTTCATACAAAAGCTGCACAAAACGCAGTCAGCTCTGTTTGTGTTTCCATTACACTCTTAAAGTGCATGGTTAAAGAGTAACTACATTGCGGTTATTATTTAACACTTCGAAGTCGTCAACTGTATTTCATACAAAAGTTACAAATTTTCAACTGGTACTTTCCGTTTATGGAGGCTAATATTGATTGATAGTGGCACGAAATTTAATCAAAATGTGCAGAAGAAAAAAAGAGATGTTCTGTTTCAGAAACTTCGCATGCACAGAATTGGATAGGTTCCCTTACGTCACGTTAGTAACGTGGCCATAATGGGAAGAAAAACGATGCTTTAACGAACAGAATTGCTTTAAATTGCCAGTTAACCCGATAACGCTGGTATATCAAAAACTGGTATATCAGCCTGAAGCATAATTTAATGAAGATGAACTTTAGCCCAATGATTTCGTTCTCAGATTATTGCCTATTAAAAAATGTGTGGTACGCCCCACAATGTTGGAAGCTGTGGGCCCTGGGCCCGAAAGCCATTGTCTTAATCCGTTAATACGCACGCGTCAAGGACGTGCTGTGTTTTCAGCGCCGCATTAACACATACTCCTGTGGATTGAGAACAATAATACCCGATTATGTGACTGTGAAACAGAAAAATGGACTGGCGATTGCGAGTGGTTCAATATATGCTTGTGTCACTTTTAATTTGTTTTTACTTTTTCCTAGACAACACGGATTTCAACCAGTCGGATGGTTCAGGTATCTGGGAGTATTGACAACGAAGGATCTTCCGAAGTACCCCCTTGAAATGAAGATGGTTAACTGTGTAGATGATGGGGTTGACGCAGCTATTCAGGATAGTGATGGATAGTCCATACAGAGCAAACGGTCGACTGCTTGGTACGACCAGAGAGATGAAATAAGGAGAAACAAGTACGAAGAAGACACAGAAGACCATGAAAAGATTCTTGGTGATAGCAAGTTGCTGACGGCTGATTGCTCTCCGTTGGCTTTTGGCTATATCGTCGGTGGACATCCTTGAGGATTTGGTCGATACGGTCAAACTGACGGTTGACATCCCTACTGCCTTGTCATGCGGGGCTTCGCTATCTTGCTGAGTGCGTCTCCTCTTCTGCTTCCTGAAGTGACGTTTGAGATGGATGTAGAGTGCCGTGTAGGAACTGATGATGATGAGCATGGGAACCGGGAAAATTCCAAGACACTGAGCAAGGTTGTAGTCTGGGCCGCGGGGATGAACATCTATGTCTGAACACGTGTTGTCCTGAAGATCGTAACCAAAGTCGCCAATGTCAAGAACTGGCGGCAAGAAGAACACGATCGACGGGATGACCCAAGTCGCAGCGAGCATGGAGGAGACTTTTCCCGGGGAGTACCAACGACTGTATGTTGCAGGTTTCTTGGTGACCAGCATGTAGCGATTGAAGGCTATCGCCGCCAACGAGTAAAGGCTTGCACCGATACCAGTGTATAACTGCACTGCGGCGATGTAGCATGGGACCTCTGTAGCTAACGGCCAGGACCCGTGGCTCAGTATGGCGACGGCCTGCCACGGGTAACACAGACTCGTCCAGAAATCGGCCAGGCTGAGGTTGACCACGAATGCGTTGGTCACCGTGCGGAGTTTCTTGGACAGGACGACCGACCAGATCACGAGGCTGTTCCCAACGAGTCCAAGGACCGCAGCTACGATCCACACACAGGCCACACCGATTCGGGCATTGTACGGGTAAAGAGATGGATTAAGGGTCGCTGGTTGCATGGTGGTGTGGTTCATGATCGACGATGTGTTGTTCATACTCATCAAAGCCATGTTTGAATTTGTCCGGTCAGATCGGAAAACAAAACGAAGGATTTAGTTCAGAAGTAGTTGCATTTTCATTTATGTAGGCCTATATGCCGAGAAAGTGTAAAGCGTTTGTTATAGGCCATACTGTCATGCGCTTAGATACATAGCTAACAGCCGCACTGTTTGTCGGTCGTATGGCATTGCCAATATCTGCATTGTTGAATGAGCACAATATCAGCGCAGCGTCTTTCATCACACCTGTGTAACCAATCCAGAGAGGAGTCAACGTTTAACATTGTGATAACAAAATCGTAATGATGCTTGTGTTGGGAAAATGAAAGGACAAAAACATATTTCCCTGGAGATGCATTTTCTCGATGAAATTTAATGTGGATGTTTTTGTGTACAGCACGTTGGCGGTACCTCCTGGCGCACTGATATTTTGTGAGACATGTCTTCGTACAAAAGTTGCACAAAACGCAATCAGCTCTTGTTGTGTTTCAACTTCACTTTTAAAATGTGTGGTTAAAGAGTAGCTACATGTGGTTATTCAGTGGCGTGACTAGAGTTAAACGTCTGAGGGGGCACCTAGGGGTGCATTCATTTTTTTCACGGGCGCAACTGCACTGAAGGCACGTTCAAGACTATAAATTGGGGCGCACCCGGTGGGGCACGGACTTCCACTGCGGGGCACGTGCTCCCGTCCCCCCCCCCCCTTTAGTCATGTCACGGTGGTTATTATCGACAACTCTGTAGTAGTCAACTGTATTCAACATAAAAGTTACAAATTTCCAACTAGTTGAATATTGGTACTGTTTAGTAAAGGAACATGATAATTGCATGGTGGTGAAATTTAATCGATAAATGAAAAGGGCGATTTCCGGAAATTGGGCATGCGCAAAATCGGGTAGGTCGCCCAACGTGGCGCTAGACGTGAACCATCGAAGGGCCAAGAACGGGTAGATTGCTTTAAAATGCCGGGTAGTCTACTACATGAACTGGTATATCTGTCTGAACTGTAAGTCCTCAATGTTACCTTTTTAACTAATAATTATGTTCTCATATTAAAGCTCCTTAAACATCTGTGGAAGGCGCCTCGAAACGTTGGTGGCTCTGGGACACGGGTCAGAAAGCCCCTACGTGAATACGCAACTAAGCACTCATCAAGGACGTGCTGTGATGTCAGCACCGCATTAACACATATTGCTGTAGATTAGGCCTACGTGACTTTGAAATAAAAACCGGATTGGCAAATGCGAATGGTTCGAGAAGATATTTATCGACGCTTGTGTCAGTTTTACTTCCTCCTAGACAACACGGATTTCAGCCAGTCGGATGGTTCAGGTATCTGGGAGTATTGACAACGGAGGATCTTTCGAAGGACTCCCTTGAAATGAAGATGATGAACCGTGTAGATGATGGGGTTGACGCAGCTATTCAGGATGCTGATGGTTAGTCCGTAGAGAGCAAACATTCGACTGCTTGGAATAACCAGAGAGATGAAATAAGGAGACATCAACAAGAAGAAAACGCAGAAGACCATGAAGAGATTCTTGGTGATTGCAAGCTGCTGACGGCTGATCCTTCGACGGTTGTGTTGAGCTACGTCTTTGGTTAGGTTCCCTTGGGACTCGGTCGATACGCTGAAACTGACGGTTGACTGCCCGAGGCCAACTTCATGGTCATCCTGGGCTGAGCTATCGTGCTGAGTGCGTCTCCTCTTCTGCTTCCTGAAATGACGTTTGAGATAGATGTAGAGTGCCGTGTAGGAACTGATGATGATGAGCATTGGAACCGGGAACAGCCCAAGAGACTGGGCAAGGTTGTAGTCTGGGCCGCGGGGATGACCATCCTTGTCAAAACATGTATTGTCCTGAGGATCGTAACCAATGTCGCCAATGCCAAGAATTGGGGGCAAGAAGAACACGATCGACGGGATGACCCAAGTCGTAGCGATCATGGCTGCGACTTTTCCAAGGGTGTACCAGCGACTGTATGTCGCAGTTTGCTGGGTGACCAGCATTAAGCGATTGAAGGCTATTGCCGCCAATGAGTACAGACTTGCACCAAGACCGGTGTATAACTGCACAGCGGCGATGTAGCATGGGACCTCTGTAGCTAACGGCCAGGAGCCGTTGCTCAGTATGGCGATGGCCTGCCACGGGTAAGACAGACTCGTCCAGAAATCGGCCAGGCTGAGGTTGACCACGAAGGCGTTGGACACCGTGCGGAGTTTCTTGGACAAGACGACCGACCAGATCACAAGGCTGTTCCCAACGAGTCCAAGGACCGCGGCTAAGATCCACACACAGGCCACGCCGATGCGGGCATTGTACGGGTAGAGAGATGGGCTAAGGGTAGCCGGTGCCATGGTTGTGACGTTCATGATGGACGATGTGTTAATCATACTCGTGCAAGGCTTTATGTAGGGAAAACATATAAGCATTTGTTATAACTAGAATCACCTCTGATACAAAGCTAACAGCTTCACCGCATTTCAGTTCATAGCATTGCCAGTATCTGCAACATTTACAAATGAGCAAAAGTGTCAGCGCAGGGTCCTTTATCACACCTGTGCAGCCAATCCCGCGCGGAGGCAGCTATAACCTTCTCAGAAAATTGAAATGCTGCTTGTGCAAGAGTAATGAAGGGACAAATAATGTAATTTCTCCGATGATGTATTTTCCGGATGGCATGTTGATGTAGATCAACTTAAGTGGCACTTAAAGGCACGCACTGTTGATTTATGACACGAGCCTTCGTACAAAAGTTTCACAAAAAGCCGAGACCTCTAATTTTGTTTCCGTGATACTCTTGAGAGTGCGTGGTTAAAAAGTAACCATGTGGTTATCATTTACTGCTTTAATTAGTCGTCAGCTGTGTTTATAAACGTAAAAGTACCTCTACTCAACGTGAAAATTATATTCAACTAGTTGAACGCAATTGAACACTGCACTAAATTAATAGTACCACGATATTTAATCGAAAAGTGAAAAATGCGGTCTGTTTGCGGAATTGGGTATGCACAAAATGTGATGCGATCAAGCTAAATGAGTCGTTTGTCTGGAACTTTCATTTGGAGATTCAGGACAAAATAGGCCACTTCGTCACATCACTTCATCACATCTCTTGGTGTGCCGACTTCCATCATTTTTGAATTAAAGATGGTACATGTACCAGCATGCGGTTTTCACAGCAGTAATGCTGAGATTGTGCTCTTTTCAAATCTGTAAAAAAATTGACCAGCGTCAACAGACGACTCATTTAGCTTGATCGCATCACACATGGTAAAGGTGGCTCAACGTTGTCCTACTAGGTTGAACAATCGTAAGACGAATACACTTGCTTTACATGTCAGTTACATGAACTGGTAAATCAGTCGAACTTCATGTTTTGGCCGAATTCAAATATGAACGTTCAATGATTATTAGCAACTACACTCTTAAAATCCTGACAACATTCGACCCGGAATTCGGGTTATATTTGAACTTTCACCCTTTTGGGTCCAAAGAAGACAAAATGATTTTTTTTATGCCAAAATGACACTTTTTTCTTGTCAAAATGACAATTGACTGTGCCATAATGACACTTTTTCTGGTCAACATGGCATTTTTGGTGCGTCAGAACGACACATTTACGAGGCAAAATGCACAGGGAAGTGACCAGGAAAGTGTCATTTAACCCAGAATAGTGTTGGGTCAAAGTTTACCCAGGGCCCCCAAAAGGCCCTGGGACCCGTGCCTGAAGGTCGGGCGTTCATCCGCTACCGTGCTCTCGACTCATCAAATGACGCCGGTGATGTGATGTCTGCACCGCATCATAAGACTCGGGTGGTTTACTCGAGGACGTGACTATGTGTAAGATAAGAAAGACTCTTTATTGCGAATGAGCTCCAGGACAAATATTTACCCATAGTTGTGTCCATTGAAACATTGTAATGTGACACCTCGTTTTCCCTTTTGTTTTCTCCAAGACAACACGATTTTCAGCCAATATCGGTTGGTTAAGGTATCTGCGAGTACATGGGCATCAATCGGTGGGGACGGGGGACAAGCCCCCCCCCCCCCCGCCACTTTAAAAAGTGAGGGGGGGGGGCGATATCATATCCCCCCCCCCCCCACTTTTTTCGTCCCCGAATAAATATTGTAGCCTACATTATTTTGATTCTGTAGCTACGAAAAGCTGATCCAATGACTCCAATTTCGAAAATGATGTTTAAATGATGATCTTTTGCTTTTGCGGGCCCCGAACCCCACGCCGTTACGGCTTCGCGCTACGTGCTCGCATGATTTCTGTCTCCCCCCCCCGCCACTTTGAAAAGTGGGGGGATGTCATATCGTTCGTGTCCCCCACTTTTTTCGTCCCCGAATAAATTGTAGCCTACATTATTTTGATTCTATAGCTACGAAAAGCTGATTCAATGACTCCAATTTCGAAAATGATATTTAAATGATGATCTTTTGCTTTTGGCGGCCCCGAACCCCACGCCGTTACGGCTTCGCGCTACGTGCTCGCATGGTTTCTGATGAAGTATGGTCCCCCCCCCCCCACACACACACTCACACTTTTGAGGAGCGATTGACGCCCTGTGCGAGTTTTATTTACGACATAGGAGTTCAGGGAGGTTAGTCCAGCAGACATCAACAAGAAGAAGATGCAGAGGACCATGAAGAGATTCTTATAGTGGCCGCGGTTATCATTCCGATCTGTAAATATTGGTTTTCTATATCATCTATAGCAGATTCTACGTCTGACTGTAGCCATACCTACCCATTTATTTTCTTGCTTGTGTAGTGGTCGGCCCTGCTGTATTAGTCACAGGGGGAGATCCGTCCACCAGTTAAGGAGAATGCGAGAACACGGCAATCGTTGGACGTGACACTTCTTGATTTGCTCTCAATTAGTTGATGATTTATTACGGTGACATCCAGTATGAGGGGAAGCTTATCACAAGAAGTAAACCAAATACCCAAGAACCTATAAAGAAACAGAAAAACACTATTTTGAGCGCTCCGCAGCATGTACATTTCACAAGTTGATAGTCTATTTACACAGCAGAAAGCAAGACTTTCAGTACGCATTTATAATAAGCATTAACTTTTTAGTTAAGTCTTACCCTGACGGCTTAAAGTTGGCCAAAATGTGTAAGAAACATCAGATATAGCTACGTTATCCCACAAGCAGCCATCACAGCAAACAGGCCCTGCTTCCAAGCTGCAGGAGTCAAGCGTGGGTCCGAACCACTGATCTCTATGTAAAGACTGGATAGCTAATACAGAGCCGCACAATGTACGAATTTGACGCCATATTGGTGAGACCGGCTGGTGATCTACAAAGGACAAGTTGCCGTTTTTATAGACAGCATGATTTCTTTTGTAACGTCGCGGTTCACTTGACTTATATTTTGACCACCACCACTGACCGAGGTTAACTACAGTTTTTCTAATGTCGTGGTTACTAAAATGCCGCAAATATCACTTTTTCGGCGTTTTGAAATAATAATCACTACGGAAATGTGTCCCTTTTAGAACATCATAATATGTGTACGTGACCAAAATGCGCGTCAACTGTTGATACAACGCGCGCGTATTTACGCGTAGAACGTTCGTATTATACGCGGCCATCTTCGTGAGACCGGGGGCGAATTGGTCAATATGCAAAGTCTACTGTGTGAATGTTGTATGCATATCCGCTATCCAGTCTTTATATAGAGATCAGTGGTCCGAACTGTCTCCGAAAACGCGCAGACTTTGCAAGTGCAATGTATACAAATGTATACAATGTAATTAGCCACTTCCGGCCGACAAGAGTGTTGTCGAGAAAAATGCTTTGTAATTCGTCAGCACGTAGGGGTCAAAATGTCATAGGCAAAGGTTACCTGGCTGGGAAATCCCCAGATCCCTACATTTATTTACAGTCAAGTATTTCTTAGAATTCTACTGGTGGTATCTCCGATGGTTATATGCATGCATTTTAGTGTAACAATATAAACATAAAAAAAAGTAAGGCAATCGCACAGGAATAATTATGATGAAACACAAACCTCGTTGGAAAATCGTGCTGTTTGTTGAATAAACTCTGTGTCTTCATCAAAGTGGTGCTGCAAAACAAAAATGTGTGCATCACGAATTATGTGGTATGGTAACTTAATTAAACATTCAGAGTCGTCTGAAAACAAAATGTAAAGATCTGTTTAGTTGTATGTTCCCGACCTCGAGCATTTTGTGGACATATATACGACGTCTATAGTAAGTTATTAATAGAACAACCTGCTCTCGTTTATGTTGGAGAAAAGCGGGCAGGAGGTTCAATGAATTTGCGCTTTATGTGAGTCAAAACCATGTTGTCTTTGCCCAAACATAACACGTATTCACTTTAAGAGTAAGGTTAATGGTCACATGAGCAAACACAATGCATGCTGAGAATTCAATATTGCTGACATTGGCACGCAATGCCACTTTCCGTTCCACCTTTTCTACAAAATTTTCCCTTTTTTGGGAGGAGGGGTATTTTTTAACATTTCTTTCATGACAAATACATGACAAATTTCATGAACAGAATTCTAACATCTTCATGTTTGCCGATTTGGGTTAAAAAACCCTCAAATTTCTGGGACATAATAACGACGTATGAGGATTTCTCTCCCACCCCTAAAAAAGCGCCTTCTGGCGGGTGACTTTGGATGCGACAGGTGTTTTTTAATCAATTGAATATTGACTCAAATAATGTTTGCGGCAAATTTCAAAGAATGTGAATGAGAAATGTAAATATTAAAAAAAAAATTAAAAATGGGCAAACAATGCCAGACGATTCAATTTATGGCACAGGTGTTTTCATGCATACCAGCACCTATAAATGAGTACAAGTGTTGACCGTTTCCCGCACTTCTCCATGCACTGATAGCGTACATGCAATAGGTTGAACATGTACATGTACATGTACATGTACATGTACATGTACATGTACATATACATGTACATGAAGGCCTACTATGTATGTATCAGGCAGCAAGCATATGGCCCGAGTGGTGGAAGCGGTAGTTATTAAACAACTATTATAATATTTTTTATGATAGCAAACAGATGAACACATACGTACGTACGCGTTTTAATCATACGGCTTCAAAGTAAACATGTGCGACTCGTATCACGAACAAGCACCCAAGCAACTCGATTTTTGCGAGTCAAACTTAAAAATGATCATTTAAACAGAATGGTTGTATGGACGTTTATATGCTACTAAATACACTTCATGACGCAGTGCCCCTTCGCCACTGCCCCCGCTGCCCCAATGTATCCAAAATGCATTGCGTTTCCGTACAGGTTTTTTTATACGAGCGATAAGCTTCGTTCCTACCCTCCCCCTCCCCCCGCCCTGCAATTTGTAGGGCGATGGTACGAGCGAAGCAATAAGCCGAGGACGGGCAACCTCGGGAGAAGGCGCCAATCGGGGCGAGCAAAACAACATTCCAGCGCGGCCAAATTCAAGTTAGGAAATGCAACACAATTAGGATGGGGAGCAAAACCCCCGTTTCCTGAAAACTAAATTCGACCCCGGGGTATCATGTTCCCGTTGAGGGCATAAAAACTCATGTACCATTATTACAACAGACATGTTTTCGTTATTTTGTAGAATTGTATTATGTAGGAATAGACCATTATTATATTGCGGCCATCTTGATTTTTCCCGCCCATTCAAATCAACCTAACCAAAGCGAGGCTGGAAGGAAAAAATAGTCTGGTTCCTTTTTGCACAAACGATTATCATTCAGTACTGTTATTGGATACAGGGAACATGACTGAAATAGTGGCGGCATGATAAAGGTCTATTGTGCGTGACTGCACCGCATTTGTGCCAGATTGCGGAGCACACATGTATTGTGCACATTCTGTCTGAAGCTAAAATTCAATTACCTTTAGGTCCCGGTGAATCAGATTCGATTTACTTAACAAGAACGACCCAAAATTATCGCTTCGACAAACTGTGATAATGAATTCAAGCTCGATTTGGATCAACGTCCGTACCTGCATGCGCACGCTTTCTGTTTTTTAATTATTTGCATGCTGTGATGCTGTCCGCGTGAAGCGGGTTTACATTTTGCGGCAAACAAATACAGCGAACGTGTTCTACAATACCCAAGTTAGCCATGAATTCCCGAATCGGGGCGTGTTTTTTGTTTTCCTTGTATGTGTCGGACCCTTTTTACTTTAATTTCTTACAACCTTGAGCACACTCTTGTCAGCCAAAAGGAAAAATAGTAAGAATCTCCGACAACTCCCAGATTTCTTTTTGCGCAATAATAGTTACAAATTATGTGTGAGATCTAATGGTTAACATTTGATTGGCGAGATGAATCTGACCTACATCTTTGTTGGTACAAAACTTATCTTTTAAGTTTCCGACGAAGACTGTTACAAATACTGCAGCTTCAGGAAACGGCCGTACATGTTTCAACCTCCACACTTTGGTGTAGGCCTCCAAGGTTTTACGAATGTAATGGTAAATGCTGATCCAAAACCCATGGGCGTTGCCAGGATTTTTTCCAGAAGGGGGGGGGTGGCAAAGTTTTCAGAATCATCGTATTTTCTCTAGTACATGTAAATTCATTTTATCGAGGATGGGCGAGGGGACATTTGACCACACCAGACCACCCCATTGACACCCCTGCGGACGCCCATGTTGTTAAATGTGCATTGTGACTTCCCTCCTTGTCTGTAGTTTTTTTTTTGGCTTTTTTTAGGGGGGGGGGTTCGAAAGGCGAATCGGGAGGGGGGCAAGAGGACAAATGTCTCAAATCGCACCACAGAGCATCTAGAATCCCCCCAAAAATCGGGTCAAGCGCCCCCTCCCCTTGTTCCCCCCTCACGACGCCCATGTTGTTAAATGTATATTGTGACTTCGCTCCTTGTCTTTATTTTTTTTTTAAGGTGGATCCCCCTGAGGGGCAAGAGGGACCATGCCCCCCCCCCCAAGTTTGTTTTTAAGTGACGTCGCAATAAAGGCAGGCACTGCGTACACCACCATCATTTCCAAAGTGGTCAGAAATTGCTCAGATCGCACCACAGAGCATCTAGAATAAAAAAAATCGGAGCAAGCGCCCCTCCCCTTGTGCCCCCCCCCCCACCCTCGCGACGCCCATGCCAAAACAATATGCCAGTGAAATTAAGTGCTAATCAATCCTTAGTCTGACCCGACGATTCCCAGACGTGTCCGTGCAAATCGTGTGCATATAGCCGACGCGAATTAATAGAACACCGGAAGTGATTAATATGCTGTTTAAGTGCTGAAACTAGAGGTGCAACTAGTGACAGCTCGTATCATCTAGTATAATTATGAATAATTAAATATTAACAAAAATTGCCAAAGCAAGCTCCAGTTAATGAATTCAAACTTTATGGGTTGGTTAAAGATAGAGTGTAAACCATTTGTCATTGGAGAATTTTTTTCTTGAAGCGACTAAATTGAAATCGACGATCATTCTCGCTGATATGGCAACCGCACGCGCGCGTGTGTGCGTCGTGCCAACGCAATTGCAAGTGTGTATTTGCCTGCAATCGGAGACCCCCTATTGTCCCTGTTTTGTTTGTACCATACCTTGTTAGGAAGACCTCCCACATGTTTTGTACACGATCGCCAAATTGGGGACTTTCAGGAATTGGGGACCCTATTGCCTCTATTGTTCAACGTCCCCCATTGAATGCAGAAGCAAACTAGCTTGCACCAACTCAAATCACGGATTCGCCCAATTGCCAACAAACTGCCCACGGAAATTTCCAGAAAATGTGTCGCTTGACACACCTTCTTTTATTGTTTTCTTCCAAATGACAGAAAGGAAGAAGGTTTATATACCATCTTTGAACCAAGTATTGAGCGCTGATATCGGCTGCCGCGTGGTCCCATGGCCTGATGAACGGGGTAATAATAAATTGTAAATCGGTTAAGATTGTTGATATACGATGGATATAAAGCACAATTATTATTGGTCGGTTATTTTTTTGACAGATGCAAATGGTCTACACCGTGCCTTTAAGTATGGCAGGCAATCATTTTTATTACGCCAGGAAACACCTGAGCAAGTCGCAAGCATTATAGCCATGATCTTTAGGTCTAGGAACCAGACATTTTAAACTTATACAAATATGTACCGCGTCAAAGGTTAAATGTACGCACCATGTGCCTGCATTTTTCTATTACATAATTAATTGCCAGTTGCTCCTTTAAAACAAAAAAAACCCCAATAATTGGCGATTCTGCCGCTGTCGGAAGTGGTTAATAATAAATAAATAAATTTGGGTACACGCTATTTTCCTGAATATTAGAATAAATTTCTAACATTGAACCTGTACAAACGTAATGTTTTTAAAGGATCCTATAGTAAAAAAAAGAAGAAGGTGAAATCCATGGCCCAAGACATGTACCGCACAGGCCTTTTTAAATCAGGGAAACTATTCAAGATCTCTTAATATTTTGGTAAAAAAAATAAACTCCTAACACTATTCAGTAAAAAAAACTGCAGCTAAGTAAAGAACAGCCGTGTATGACACGTTTTTATCGTGCGATTAAAATAAACTGGTAAATGTCATGCCGAAACACCCCGATCGATCAACGCGAAGTGTCGTTTAATAGCCGATTCCGTGAATGAGAAGTGGGATTTTTTCCCCGTCAATGTTGACTGTACAAGACATTTACATTTCGGTCCCGTAGAATCGATGTTTCATTGGAGCGCTTCATCATTGCTGAACATAATCGGTCCCATGCATATATGCGTAGCGCTGCATGTGTAGCTTAATGGGGGCCCCAGCACACAGCTAGACCTTAGTTCTATTGTGCGCGCTCCTTCACGATGTAACTAAACTGCGGCCGTGGGTGGTTTGTAAATTGAATAATGACAATTTGACTGTTTCCGTATTCGAGATTGTTCTTAGTATTGTTAATACTGTCGAGGGAATGGCATCGATCATGAACATCACCACCGTGGAACCGACTACCCTAAACCCATCTCTCTACCCATACGAGGCCCGCATCGGCGTGGCCTGTGTGTGGATCGTAGCCGCGGTCCTCGGACTCGTTGGGAACAGCCTCGTGATCTGGTCGGTCGTCCTGTCCAAGAAACTCCGCACGGTGACCAATACCTTCGTGGTCAACCTCAGCCTGGCCGATTTGTGGACAAGTCTGTCTTACCCGTGGCAGGTTCTTGCCATACTGAGCCGTGATGGTTGGCCGCTATCTACAGAGTTCCCATGCATTATCGCAGCAGTGCAACTTTACACCGGCCTTGGTGCCAGCCTGCTGTCCTTAGCGGCGATAGCCTGCAATCGCTTCGTGCTGGTCAGTCAGAAACCTGCAACATACCGACGTTGGTACACCCCGGGTAAAGTTGCTATCATGATCGCTGTGACGTGGACTTGCCCTTGTGTTGTGTTTTTTCTTCCCCCGATCATAGGCATCGGTGAGCTGGGATACGATCCTCAGGACCACACCTGTTCAGACAAGGATGGTCATCCCCGCGGCCCAGAGTACAACCTGGCTCAATCTCTTGGGCTGTTCCCGGTTCCCCTAATCATCATCATCAGTGCCTACACGGCACTCTATATCCATCTCAAACGTCACTTCAGGAAGCAGAAGAGGAGACACACTCAGCAAGATAGCCCAGCTCAGGTTAACGAGGAAGTTGGACAGTCAACAGTCAGTTTCAGCGTATCGACCGAGTCCCAAGGGATAGCCGCCGACGACGTAGCTAAAAATAACCGACGAAGGATCAGCCGTCAGCAGCTTGCAATCACCAAGAATCTCTTCATGGTCTTCTGCATCTTCTTGCTGTTGATGTCCCCTTATTTCATCTCTCTGGCCGTACCAAGCGGTCGTAACTTTGCTCTCTACGGACTAACCATCAGTATCGTAAATAGCTGTGTTAACCCCATCATCTACACGATTAACCACCCTCATTTTAAGGGAGTGCTCAGGAGCATCCTTCGATGCCGCTACTCTAAGATACCTCAACCATCCGACTGGCTGAAAACTGTGTTGTCTCGGAGAAAGTGAGCTCAAGGTATCGCCGATTATGTTGCGAGGTACTCTCTAAATTCCAAAGAGTGAAATTAGGGACTAGACGTTTTAGAGAGAAAATCACTCTCATTTTAGATTGAAAGAGTCTGAAAAAAAAGAACCACTTCAATCGAGGCTCGAGTGAAAACTCACTCTTTACGATTGGAGGAATTTCACTCTAAAACGTCTGGTCCCTAGTTTCCGACTGTCGGAGTGAATCTTCACTCGAATGGAGTGAATTTTCACCCTATGGAATATAGAGAGTAACACAACTGAATAGGTAAAGGTTTTTGAGCTAATCTCGATTGCAGGTCTTTTCTTTCATACAACCACGTACAGCCGCTGGATCAAAACCTTGAGTTGATGCCAATATAATATTACGTGGATGTGATTTCTAAGACACACTATCGTCAGTACATGGCAATTTAAACCCAATTGCTATAGATGTATTTAAGCACATACACAATTTCACTTTGAAATGAGATGTACACTTTGGCATCATAGTTACGAAACTATTTCACTCGGACTTTAGAACGCACTTGGCTATATTTATAAGCACCTTTTTGTGTACCTAATGGCAGAAAGGTAAAAGGAGATCAGGTGGTTGTTGGAAATATTTTTTTTTCGATGAGATATTAATGAAATAAGGACACTTTTAATGTACCTACAAACATTCAGGAGCTTGAGATTTTTTTAATTAAGAACGTGGAACATATGATGAAGGAACAAAAGGATGTTAGCAACCATGCTTATTCATGCCACATCTTCCTTCATGGTTTGCAAGCCCGGTCTTCGAGGAGTTATTGAAACGTACCTCTTAATCAATATCTGTTACCTATATCATCTTCCTACTTTGGGGATGGGCGCTTCTTGGAACATTGACAGTGACACTGTATCACTTTATGTATATGCTGTTAACTGCGAGCAAGAACATGCATGTATTGTCTTATCGCCACAAATGTAATATAGAATTGACTTGAGAAGGCAGAGGATGTAATGTTGTGACGCCGCATACTGAGTAGCATTCGGTGCAGATCCTCCTTATTCGGATCCTGTGAACTAGTACCGTACCGTAGGTCTATGTCTTGATCGTGCATGTAAGTCCCGTGACTAGTCGTTTAAGGTTGCAGACCAGTAAATTGGTCCGAAATTGCCTACGCCGGCCAAATCACGATTTGCATGCCCTCATAATCTTTAGTATTTGGGCATGCTGTGGGCCATGAACTTCAAGGTTTGTAGAAAAAATATGGATGGAAGCCGTGCACAGGATTGTGAGCTTGTAGTTCCGCACAATTTGGATGAAATTGGGCCCCTAATGCACTCTATTTTGCAATGGAGTGTAGGCATCGTTTTTCAAAATGGCGATGGGCTTCAGGACTATTTTCAGGGGTGATCATCTTCGGATGGAAATTTCTCCTAAAAGTCATCAGTTGACCCTCCCGAAAATTGCAAAGAAAATGAAACATGATGAAATAAGCTTTAATTTGATGTGTGTCCCGAACACCTTGGAGAGTTGTGAGTATTTTCCCCGAATTTCTGAAGTGGGAGCATTTACCATTGGGGTCTATGAAAGTTTATTTACTGGTCTGCAACCTTAAGGAATGTTCGCCATTTTGAATCTCACGCTGATCCACTTCTCGGGAGGGATCCCTACGATCCATGATCCAGATTATTGGGAGTGTGAATAAACTAGCAGACATCAGATATGTTTATTTTTTTTCTTTTTGGGGGGAATTCGTCTCTATACTGGTTGTTTTAATACTGGTCTTTGGGGCGTTCCTTTTTTACTGGTTTTTACTCTTTTCCTGGGTTGATGGTGTTTTAATATGAATCCATTTTTATCAATTTTTATCTCATCATGGTCATTTGGTCTCATTGGGATTTTTCATCTAAGACAAAAAACATCTTGAGATAGTACAGTCGGCCTGTTTTTATCATTACATGTTTGTATTTACAGTTGTTTAATTTTGTATAATATGGTTTTTATTTCATTTTTACTTCTTCATTTAAAATTCATTGTTTTAATTTGAACAGGGGTCTGGTCAAACACATCGTTTGATGACAGTTTTTTTATGCTTTTGTTTGTCCTTGACAGCCCCTGTTCATGTGGTCTTACATTTCCTTTTAATTCAATTTTATATTTATGTCTAAAGATGTAAAATAAATAAATAAATAAATCAGTATCCGAGGGAAACAAACAAAGGATTCCTGGATCCAGATCATCAACTTGGCAAGACAGACAGGACCTTGGTCCATCATGCCTTTGGCCAAAATAAAAAGTCTCCGGTTTCTGGTATGCGCGCGCGTCGCTGTAGCCATGCGCGTCGGCAAAATGAAAAAGTCTTTTTTTTTTCAATGAAAGATGATGTCTCAAAACCGCCAAACTCACTGGTTTGACTGGAATCCTGCTGCTGCACAATTTTAACGTGTTTTTAGATGGAGTTATGGTCGAGAATAAGCTTTATGTGGCCTCTCTGGACTCCCAATCCCATATAGGCCGATTTGTACTAAGTTTAGTCGAGCACCATTTCCAGTCATCACACGCCATTTGAAGCAAAAAAGTCAGGTAAAAAAAAAAAAAACCAGCTGCGTCGCCGCACGACTTTTGGGCAAGCTCCATACCAGAAACCAGAGACTTTTTTTTTGGCCTTTGCAAAACATTTTTATGTAGATTAGTTTTCGCTCACGAACCATCACTCAACTTGGGCTAGAAAATGTGACTCAATGAAAATGATGTCCCGAACTTCCCTTCCGTGTATTATAATCTGAAATTATTTGTACACCTATAATTTACCAAGTGTTATAATGTTTACAAAGTTAAAACAGTTTGATTCGTTAATACAATTATCAAACGATGTCTCTTTAATAGCTTGTGTGAGTGTGATATTCATCTTAAGGGAAAACAGTCAGTTGTTCAAACACTTCAGAAGGATATTGATACCAGGAAAAAGTAAATGTAAACATTGATGTCCGTGTTCATATTTGTACAGGCAAGTGCAGTTACAGGAAATGGTGTAATTAAAAAATACGTCGTTGTAGGGAAAATCCCCGTATATTAAGGATTTCCTTTTGAGGCATGCACGGATCACGCGTTATAAGGCATACACGGATCTCACTATGAGGCGTGTGACGTATCTTTTTACATAAAAGACAGCAACACCCACTCTGATATTCAGTGTACAGAAAACAATCGGCCGTACTATAGCGCATACAATTATACATACACATCTACCATCATGAACGCAACCACTGTGCTACCGGTAACTGCAAGCCCACCTCTGTACTCATACCAAGCCCGCATCGGCCTTGGCTGTGTTTGGGTCACAATCTCCATCCTTGGTCTCATTGGGAACAGCCTCGTGATCTGGTCGGTCGTCCTGTCCAAGAAACTCCGCACGGTGACCAACGCCTTCGTGGTCAACCTCAGCCTGGTCGATTTCTGGACGAGTCTGTCTTACCCGTGGCAGGCCGTCGCCATACTGAGCCACGGGTCCTGGCCGTTAGCTACAGAGGTCCCATGCTACATAGCTGCTGTGCAGTTTTACACTGGTCTTGGTGGAAGCCTTTATTCATTGGCAGCGATAGCGTTTAATCGCTTCATGCTGGTCACCCAGAAAACTGAAACATACAGTCGTTGGTACTCCCCGGGAAAAGTCTCCGTCATGATCGCTGCGACTTGGGTCATCCCTTCGATCGTGTTCTTCTTGCCGCCAATCCTTGGCATTGGCGACTTTGGTTACGATCCTCAAGACAACACGTGTTCAGACAAGGATGGCCATCCCCGCGGCCCAGAGTACAACCTGGCTCAATCTCTTGGCCTCTACCCAATCCCAATGCTTATCATCGTCAGCTCCTACACGGCACTCTACATCCATCTCAAACGTCACTTCAGGAAGCAGAAGAGGAGACGCGCCCAACAGGGAAGCCCGGCTCAGGATGTTGATGGGGGAACAGTTGGAGAGTCGACCGTCAGTTTCACCGTCGTGAGCGAGTCATCACCGGTGCCTGCCAACGACATGACCCAAGGCATCCGGCGAGAAATCAGCCGTCAACAGCTTGCTATCACCAAGAATCTCTTCATGGTGTTTTTCATCTTCTTCTTGTTGATGTCTCCTTATTTCATCTCTCTGGCTATACCAAGCAGTGGCACGTTTGCTCTCTACGGGGCAACCATCAGTATGCTGAATAGCTGTGTAAACCCCATTATCTACACGGCAAAGCATCCTCAGTTCAAGTTGGTGCTTCGAAATATCCTTCGCTGTCGCTACTCTCAGATACCTGAACCATCTGACTGGCTGAAATCCATCTTGTCTCGGTGGAAGTAAACAGGTTTTTCATACACAGAATGTTTTTGAGTTGAACCCTTATGTTACTTTTTATTGAGGGATGGTGTTTCAGTTTTGCAACTGATTGGCAGTGATGTTTTAGCACCAGAGGAAGCTGATTGCGTCTTATTATATTAATTACTTTACGGTGAATTTAAAGGGTTTATGAGATGAATTATTGTTAATAGGAACGCATTAGTGCAGCTGTTAACTACTCATAAATGTATGAAAACTATTTGACATCCCTTTTTGGTTGATTTTATTGAAAGTTAAACATTCAGTTAACTGTTCAGTTAAGGGGTTTCTGTTCAAATTGTTAACCCAAACATTTGCCCATTGAAACCATTTGTGAGAACAGTTGCTCATTGGTTTACTTTATGTACTGCCATCTACTGACACCACAACAATCACCGAACAAATAATATGTAAGACAACAACATTTCCCGAATTCTGACAACTGTTGGTGCAGAAATAGCTGTTACATTGAGGTTTCTGCCTGAAGTGACATCACACGTTTGCTCATGAATATGGAAATTCACATTAGCATAAAAACAAAAAAAGGCACCAAAATAGCCTTGAAAATGGCATAACAAAAATTGAAAATAGGGTTGCATGGGATACAAAGGTGCATTTTCAAGGATTGCAATGAAAAAATACATTGCATGGCCCTTTAAAGACATCATACTTCTGGAAATGTTATAGCTACTCGAATAACCATGTAATTTTCGGGCAGCCTGTGTTGAAACTGTGTGTAACGTATAGATCTGCATATCGATTTTTAAACGCCAAGAACAGTAGATAAAATAATGTAACCAAATGTTCACGGGCCACATTTTGTGACGGGTAGGATACCAGAGTATATTTCCATTGCCCAGAAACTACCGTTGAAATATTCTTACTTCTAGATGATTCCTCCCCCCCCCCCTCCAAAAAGAAAACAAATCCACGCAAGTATATCACAAAAGGTAATCCCAAACACACTGTCGTGAATTTATATACGCCCAAGGGCAATGCTAAGTGTTTCCCTTTGTCCCTGTAATAATTATAACACTCTCCCATAGACTACGCACATGCTCGAGGATTGAAAGGATCTTTTGATTTGTCCTTTATGCGTCTGTCCTCTATCGTAAAGCCATAATGTACGTGTACAAACTAGCATAAGTGTGTTAAAAACATGAACTTGATCAATTTTGGTGTATATATATTGTTGTATATTATCTTATTTTTTTATTATTGATACCTTGCACTCTAAGAAAATCCCTGGTCAGAGGTCACCCGAAAAACGGGTTTTATTGTGCCTAATACACTTTCAGGGTAAATATTTAAACTTTTCTGGGCCAAAATGGCTCGAGTCAAAGTTTTCAAAAAAGGATCAAGAGACGTGTTCTTTTTACCGGGAAAATGTTGATTTGACCCAGAAAAGCATCAGGCTAAACGGAACCCGGATACTAGAGGCCAATATGTACAGTATGGTGGCCCTGAAGGGACATAACCGGTAGTGAATATTTTTGCGATCGTCGCGAATTTATTCACGAATAGTCGTGATTTTTTTGCGACGTTGTGAATATGTTTGCGACGTCCTGAATTAATTCACGACTAGTCGTTTATATTTTTGCGACGTCGTGAATTTTTTTGCGACTTGTCGTGGATTTTTTTCGCGAATATTTTTTTTTCAGTAGTTTGGAGGTATTTAACCGACAAACGAGAGATAGAGGGCGTTATTGCATAGTTTCGGCGGCAAAATTCCTAATCGCTGCATCGGTTCCATCGTACGTGTCAAAAACAATGGAGGGGAATTCAGATTGAAATAAGACATATTGTTGCCAGCTCCTGTGTCGTTCAAACACAAACGTACCTAGGAATGTTGCGCGTCAGGCGGGGCAAATGTCTGCTATCCCTTGATGATGCACACTGTTGTACACTTCGAGTTACTGCGAAAATATTTACGACAACAAATTCACGACTAGTCGTTAATACGTTTATGACTAGTCATGAATATTTTCGCGACGTTGCAAATAATATTCGCGACCGGTTATGTCCCTTCGGGGTCACCATAGTACAGGGACTTTTTAGGGGGTGACATTGTTACACGCTTACCATATGGCACAGGTCCCAACATTAGACAGTCCCGACCTTAGTTGGGACTAATACCCCAACATTAGTTTGGACCCCGACACTAGTTGGCACAACTAACGTTGGAACCCCGACATTAGTTGGCACAACTAATGTTGGCACCCCGACATTAGTTGGCACAGTCCCAACTGCTGTAGCTTTGTCATAGTTAAGTTGGGGCTTAGCATACTTGCACCCCTGCTGTCATAATGAATGGCTGAGCAGTAATTGTTGTCCTGATTCAGTGGCGGCATGAGCAGTTATTGGCTGTTGCTATGTGCGATGTGGGTCGAATAAGGAGGAAGAGATAATTATGTTCAGGGTGTCACACTATCGGTGCATCGATAAAATTGCTTGTTGTATCCGCCTGATGATAGGCTTCAACCCAATACCTATTTTGTTCGAAATTGGCATCTGATGGACTGATCAAAATATTGTTTTTAAAAACTAATGGATTGATACATTGCTCCCAAAGCAAAGTTATTCTATGCAATTTTATGCACCCAAAAAGCGTCTTTAAAACTGGTCTACTTCTCTGGACGGCATATTTCCCCTCACATTCAGCCCAACTTCGCCAAAAAGACTTCAGCTTTTGTTTTAAATCAATGGTATAATCGGACATCGATGACTGCAGGATTAGAAGTAAAGTGTCAATATCAAAGCTCATCATTTTTGGATTACACGTCCAGCCTCGAGAATTTCGAAAATCATTGAACAATCCTTATTACTATATGATCGGATGATTTCCCGGTAACAATTATTATTGTAGGTTTACACGGTGAGTAAAAAATAACACGCAACCCAATGTCGGGACTATTGTGTTTGTGTGCGTTCTTTCAGCAAAACGAAAACTATTCAGCTCAAACAAATCCCTATGTGATTTGTTTTTTTTGTTTTGCTGAAAGAACACTTACCTTTTTGTGATCCGTGGACAGAACTTTAAAACGGTGGTTGTGTTTAAAATTCTGTAATTAACTTGAAGATTACATGAGCGATTTGAATTACTCTTATACTAAAAGAAAGCTTATGAATTGGGCTTTCATATCCTAGATTGGTGAAAATGCTCGTGCAGACCTTCACTAAAACACTGGTCCCGACATTTGGGTTTCGGTGGTTTTTTTTTATAGCTATTCTTTCGTATATCCATTCATAATTATGTATATTCTGTGTGCCGAATTATGACCTGGTTTCTGGGTCATCACATCAATCGAGACAAATACTTAAACTCTAATATCAAGTAGTCACATGTCAATTTATTAGCTTGATTTTTTTTGTCTCAAGTAACTAGGAACAGAAACAAAACTAATTCAATAGTTTAGTTCTTGCTCATGAGAAGCAAATTTAACAACTACAACGAGGAAGTAATTGTAAATGTGGTCAAATTCTTATTATTTCATTGTGTATTAGTGGCCCGTATGTAGCTGGCCTCAATCATAAACTGTTTTTTTATTCTTTCTTTTTGGTTGTTTGTATACGGTTTGCCTATATTTTATCATCGCGTCATTTACTTGATTTATTAGTAGGCCTATGAGAACTTGATTGTCAAGGTTTAATTACGTCATGGAAAGATACAAAAGTAAAGGTTTCTTTTAAAAGAAAAAGTGATGCATGTAATTCTAGGAAGACGTTAAGGGGCCGGCTCACAGAAAATATTTCTCTTACAATAGTACAATCAACTTTCTGCAAATGAAAGTTGACAATCTGAAACAGAAAACAAAACATCTTATTAAATAAACTTACTGCAGAACGCCCAGCAGTGTCGAAAGCAATTTTGCCCTTGGTAAAATGGAAACAAAACTGTAGTGTTGGGTTTTTTTTTGAGGGGCGGGGGATTCTGTTCACTTTTTGGGAGTTCAATCAATAATTGCGGAAGTCAAAGCAGAATTCATCATTTCAAAGCCATTTTTTGTGTAAAACCAACAATTTCATGAAAGTGCAAGACGAAATTGGTTTGTTCTTTTCGTGCAAGACCAAACAGTTTTCGTAACTGATATACTGGTTTGTGATTGAAATACTGGTTTGTTATTGTTGTGGTTGTTGTTGGTTGTTGTTGGTTGCTGTTGGTTGTTGTGGTTGTTGTTGGTTGTCGGTGGTTGTTGTGGTTGCTGTGGTTGTTGTTGGTTGTCGTTGATTGTTGTGGTTGTTGTAGTTGTTGTTGGTTGTTGTTGGTTGTTGTTGTTGTTGTTGTTGGTTGTCGTTGGTTGTTGTGGTGGTTGTTGGTTGTTGTTGGTTGTTGTTGGTTGTCGGTGGTTGTTGTGGTTGTTGTTGGTTGTTTAGGTTGTTGTTGGTTGTCGTTGGTTGTTGTTGGTTGTTGTTGGTTGTTGTTGGTTGTTGTTGGTTGTTGTGGTTGTTGTGGTTGTTGTTGGTTGTCGTAGGTTGTCGGTGGTTGGCGGTGGTTGTTGGTTGTTGGTTGTTGTTGGTTGTCGTGGTTGTCGTGGTTGTTGATGGTTGTCGTTGGTTGTCATTGGTTGTCGTTGGTTGTCGGTGGTTGTTGTGGTTGTTTTTGGTTGTCGTTGGTTGTCGGTGGTTGTTGTGGTTGTTGTTGATTGTTGTTGGTTGCTGTTGGTTGTTGTTGGTTGATGTGGTTGTCGGTGGTTTTTGTTGGTTGATGTGGTTGTCGGTGGTTGTTGTTGGTTGTTGTTGGTTGTTGTTGGTTGTTGTGGTTGTTGTGGTTGTTGTGGTTGTTTTTCGTGCAAGACAAAAAAGTTTTCGTGCATGGTCATTTTGTCCATTTCGTTCAAGGCTATTTGTTCATGCAAGATTAAACTTTGCTATGCAAGACCACTTGTTTTCATGCAAGACCAAAATGTCCGTGCAAGATGCACGACGGTGACCATTAAAAATACAACTGCGGTTATGTCCTTTCTTTCACCGCCATCATGCTATAGCCTTGATCCATGCGTACGCCACGGTATACAGACGCCATGGTATACAGAATATAGAGAAAAACCGGATTAAAGTGCGACCCAAGCGTCAAATGAGGTCCAGAAAGCCCCCCCCCCCCCTCCCTTGACGGTTGGCAAGTGCATTGCCCAACCCCCTTTCAAAACTGTTCCACCGCCGCTGGTGGTCGCATGCACCTGATATTAGCTGATCTAGAGGGGGTTGGGTTGCAAGATTTCAAACTAGTAAATGGGGCCCAAAATAATTCACAGAATACTTAAGTTCCTAAATTCATTCTTAAATTGCCTTAGAATGTAGAAGAATGTAGTCTGAGTATCACCCGTTGTCCAATGGAGTCCTCTCCGTAACCAATGTCTGATATAATTAGGCCCTATGTGAGCAGTGCATATTTTGTGCGACCCCGCGCGCCAGCCAATCGGAGTCCGCTTTAGAAATTGTGACGTCATTTCGATTGAAAATGTTGAATAAGCTGTTGAATGGATAAATTGGCTTCATGTGTTTGTGATACAACAACGGATTACGGAAGACCTGCCAGAAGGCGCCCGCTGAATGGTAAGAATCTCCTACTTAAGACGCTGTCTTGTTTTGTATAATTTATCGCCGAATCTGCTCGCATAAAAAAAAATATCCTAGACTCTTTCTGTGCAAGAGGATATTCCATAGACTAGGAGAAATCATCGTAGATTTCACCATTTTCATGCAAAACTAATTTGTTTTCCAAACTAATTTGTTTTCCAAACCAAATTCTTGCAAGACCAAAATAATTTGTTTATATGCGGGGGATTCCCCGAACCCTCCCCCCATATAAACAAATTATTTTGGTCTTGCAAGAATTTGGTTTGGAAAACAAATTAGTCTTGCATGATTTTTTGTTTGTCTTGCACGAAAGGATGCTTGAAGTAATTCCGCTTTGGCTTTCCATATTGATAAGTCAACATAAGTGGCCTATAAACATCCACATTAGCATGTCCCAAGGATGTTGATATACATCTCTAGGAAAATACCTTCTGTTGTCCTTTCATTTTCCTCACACAGTTATTCTGAAACTCCAATGAAGTATGAACTGGTGTCATGTGAAATGTTGACGCCTATGAAATCTAGTACGAATAAACTACCCAATATTATTGCTCTAAGCCTCACACATGACCTGTCACTGTCCTAATTATCTTCACTTAGGCATGCGCATTACAGCCAATCAGTCCGTATTTCATAGAGTCCACATTTCACACTATACCGGCCTTCAGTCGGTTTTTGGTCGCAAAGGTATTACAAAAGATAATGCGCCAACATTATTGCACATAATCGTATTGCCTGTTGCGGGGTATCTCCGGCATACATGAACTAGAAAGCTGCTCTCATCACTGACTATTTGATCAGACCGGACAAATGCAAATATTTGACAAATATGAATAACACATCTTCGATCATGAACCTCACCACCACGGAACCGGCTACCCTTAGCCCATCTCTCTACTCGTACAATGTCCGCATCGGGTTGGCCTGTGTATGGATCTTAGTCGCGGTCCTTGGACTGGTTGGGAACAGCCTTGTGATCTGGTCGGTCGTCGTGTCTAAGAAACTCCGCACGGTGACCAACGCCTTCGTGGTCAACCTCAGCCTGGCCGATTTCTGGACGAGTCTGTCTTACCCGTGGCAGGCCGTCGCTGTACTGAGCCACGGGTCCTGGCCGTTAGCTACAGAGGTCCCCTGCTACATCGCGGCTGTGCAGTTTTACACTGGTCTTGGTGCAAGCCTTTACACATTGGCAGCGATAGCCTTCAATCGCTTCACACTGGTCACCCAGAAAACTGAAACGTACAGTCGTTGGTACACTCCGGGTAAAGTCTCTGCCATGATCGCTGCGACTTGGGTCATCCCATCGATCGTGTTCTTCTTGCCGCCAATCCTTGGCATTGGCGACTTTGGTTACGATTCTCAGGACAACACGTGTTCCGACAAGGATGGTCATCCCCGCGGCCAAGAGTACAACCTGGCTCAATCTCTTGGCCTCTACCCAATCCCAATGCTTATCATCGTCAGTTCCTACACGGCACTCTACATCCATCTCAAACGTCACTTCAGGAAGCAGAAGAGGAGACGCGCCCAACAGGGAAGCCCGTCTCAGGGTGTTGATGGGGGTACTGTTGGAGAGTCGACCGTCAGTTTCACCGTCGTGAACGAGTCATTAGCGATGCCTGTCAACGACATGACCCAAGGCATCCGGCGAGAAATCAGCCGTCAGCAACTTGCTATCACCAAGAATCTCTTCATGGTGTTCTTTATCTTCTTCTTGTTGATGTCTCCTTATTTCATCTCTCTGGCTATACCAAGCAGTCGTAAGTTTGCTCTGTACGGGGGAACCATCAGTATGCTGAATAGCTGTGTAAACCCCATTATCTACACGGCAAAGCATCCTCAGTTCAAGTTGGTGCTTCGAGAGATCCTTCGCTGTCGCTACTCTCAGATACCCGAACCATCTGACTGGCTGAAATCTGTCTTGTCTCGGAGGAAGAATTAAACAACGGGGAACGAAACGTGGGCATGTTAGGCTATGAACCCTTTTATTTTGACAAGCCTTTGGCTTCATCAGTAGAAGTTTAATTCACAAATGAAAGTCGGTCAGTTATGTAGGTTATCAGTCTAATTCCTAAGTGGCTGTCAGTGAGTCGCTGAGTCAGATCAAGTAGTAAATCAGTCGGGGAGTCACTTGGTCGGTCGGGGAGTCAGTCAGTCAGTCAGTCAGTCATGACGAATCAGGTGGATCCCATGTCTTCAAATATTGTAGTAGTAGTAGTAACATTTATTTCAATGAAGTCATTCATCAATACAATTACGTACAAACATGTATAAATGAAAAAAGTCATTATTACAGTATTTGATAGTTATGTACACAGTGATTAATTATAAAGTGTGAAATTAAATGACAACATTTAGGTATAAGGTTAAGCAAAGCGCTTTTGTGCCCTTACCTATGGACAAGCATACGACCAAGGGACAAACAAAATAATACGTGAAATAGACAGGACAAGTGTGAGACAAGGCCTAAATACGAATACATGTACACAAAATAATGGAATTTCAGTTTATGAATATGATTCGAGAAAATGAGTTTTTAAATTTTTGACAAAGACAGTTAGTGAAGGTAACCATTTAGAAGAATCATCTTAACTATTCCAGTAGTTTTTTTTTTGACATTGACGTTCTGTTAAATTGGATGAACAAATCTCCCCTAGCACTACATCTACATCTTCCATTAGTTACACATGAATTAAATTACGTCAACAATAGGAAAGAGCAGAATAAGCGAAGCTATAGAGTTTGAGCAGAACGGTATTTCTGTTCCGAATAATTTCATGATTTCAAGAATAGTGTTTTGAAATTAAGTTTTTTTATTTGTAGTATTTTAAACTAAACACTTTGACTTTAACCTGATTAGAAATGTAAGCAGCACAATACTCGGCCGGAAATACTGGTACTACGTAGAGTGAGAGTGGGTGGTTACAACAATGTGAACATCTGTTTGCCCTTTCGTTGCCACCAAGAAGAACAGAAAATTTCGACAGGCGTAAAAAATAAGACATTTCCCAGGAACCAACGCCAGCTGGATCGAGTCATGGTGTTGACGTATAATCTCTAGATGAACTTAAAATCATCCAATCCACTTATGCGTGTTTTTTTTCATTTCTTGACAAGGATATTACCCGCACATAGTATAGGAATTGAAACGTAAAGGTTTCATGCTGTACAATTTGTAGTATTTTAGCTGAATTTGTTGTAACTTGACATATACCTATACATATATGCGTTATATATGAAAATGTAACTGACATCATCATGACGTCATCACATGTCATATGATGTCACATTAAAGGGGCATTATCTAAAGAATTGCAGGTCCGATTTGGTTGTAACTTGATATGTACCTATACCGGGACGTGTTATAAATGACAATTTAAGTGTTGTTATTATGACGTCATCACATGTCATGCGATGTCACATTAAAGTGACATTTTCTAAGGAATATTTCTAAAGAATTAAAGATTTGATTTGGTTAAAACTTGATATGTACATATACCAGGTTGTGTTAAAGCCTTCAGTCAAGGCCCATCCGGCAACCCAGACACTCGACGCGTTCCGGATTCTGGCACTCAAAAAAGGCTATAGCACGAGAGTCGCTATAGTCTTTTTACGTGCCAGCATCCGGGGCGCGTCACGTGTCGCATGGGCCTTGACTAAAGGCTAGATGTGTTAGAGATGAAAATTCAAGTGCTGTTATTGTGACGTCATCATATGTCATGTGACGTCACATTAAAAAGACATTTTTCTGAGGCATGTATCCTTCAACTAAAGGTCGGATTCGGTTATAACTTGGTAAGCTGGTAGGGATTTAGACCAGGATGAACATTGAAGTGACGTCATATGATGACATCATCATGTTTACGTAACATGTATAATCGATGAAATTTGAATTGACGTCGTCATGTTGTCATCACATGTCACAGAGTCATTTCAAAAAGCCGAAACAGCTGTAGCCTTGGTCAAGGCGTTCGTCATTATTCGTCCGTACGCGGTAAACGATCGGCGGCATATCCTCGCTATGCATGGCAGTGCATTAAAAATACAGCGCGAACAGCGACCTCGTGCGGCCACTATTTTATGCAAATCAGTTGGGCCCGATCCAACTGATTTACATAAAATAGTGGCCGCTTGAGGTCGCTGTTCGCGCTGTTTTTTTTTTAATGCACTGCATGCATAGCGAGGATATGCCGCCGATCGTTTACCGCGTACGGACGAATAATGACGAACGCCTTGACCAAGG